TGTGTGTGTGTGTGTGTGTGTGTGTGTGTGTGTGTGTATTATAGTGCTGATTACACATAACGAGAAATTCAGAATAACCATTTTGTTGGTTTGATGGTTTCTTTAGGTAATTCTCTGGGTTAAATCTAGTATGTAGATAGGAAAGATGTCACAGGTCGTCTCTGAGCTGAAGTCCTGGTCAGGATTAAGCTTTGTAACATTTTACGACAAGGCGAACACAGATCAAGTGAGAGAAAGGCATCATAACACTGGCATACAGGGCACTTTAATTACTTAAAACAGAAGACAAATTCTCCCCTTCTGTCACTCAGCAGCAGCTGCAAAACCGTTAATCAACATTTAACGATACTCCACAAATGGAGGAATTCTAAAATATTTTTACTCAAATATTTAGCAACTAAATATATAAAAAATATGTATATATGTATCAGTTAGATTCCGTTTGTCATACCAGTAAGCCACCTCTTCTTTTAATGTGCTACATGGCAATTGACTACTGTTTTTATCAAACAAGCTATAGGTCCCATCGATCTATATAGAATAAGGTGCTGAGAAAAACATCATATTTGTCATTAACTTTTAAGTACGGGCTGCTCTGGAGGATTTAAATGTCATCATCAGTGAAATTCTGTCCTGTCTCTCTTTGTTCAGCTTTTCTTTTTAGATGTCCTCCATATACATATATAAAATGAACTGAGCAAGCGGTGTGATGCAGACTTTTGTTCTGTCTAAATCTAAAATTAACAAACTGGAATAAAAAACACTAAATTAAACTACCTCACGAAGGTCACTGGGTTATTTTGAACTGAACCAACTAGGGTAATCCCAAAATTTGGACAGCATGCAGGTCACCGGGTTACTGACTCTCTGGCTGTCACAGACAACAGTGTAATTAAGTGTCCACTGACTGCTGAACAAACAAGCTTGCTTGACTAAAAAATGAATTGATTCTTAGCCGTGGTAATCTTTGAAATGTGGGAGAGTCTCCTACTATTTCATGTATGCCAACATAGTTACTGATTGTCTTCTCACCACCCCTTCCACCCCACCCTTTCTTTACCAGCACTGGCATCTCCTTACTTTACTTAAATATTTATGCAACTAAATACATATAAATATGTCTATGTATTTATTTAATTTATTTACACATCACACTCATTTACATCCTAATATGCCCCTGTATATTCGTTTAATACTAGTTTGCCTTATTTCTGAATGATGTACAGTCATGGCCTGTACATTTTCCTGTCAAAAAAAGAGAATAAAAAAAACTTGTGAAAAAGACAAATCTGTCATATCTGTGGTTCCTTATATATTTAGATTATATCTATACGCAAATTCATGCTACACGTCTTATAAAATTATATATATACTTATTCGCATTTGTGGTATCATAAAGCGGTCGGATACTACTCCGTCTCTCACTTCTACTCTGAAATGGAGGCTTTTATTTGATAAAGTCACCGGAAGCTGCTTTTTTTAATCGCTGCCGCACGGTTTGACGTCATTACGTTACCCTGGCCCGGCTAGCTGTCATATGCGTAACAGGGAAGGCATGACATGGAGCTAAATTTTCCCATCTGCAGTTATATATGCGGCCTGGCTTGTTAAATCGATCTAAGGAATTGTCAGTTATATGTACCAAGTTAGAGGCCTTTCCGTTTCGACTTCTCGAAAAAGCAGTAGCTCGCTAACCCGATAGCTACCTTCTAACTTAAGGTGAAGATAACCACTTGCATACTGAAAGCATGGCGTTAATCCTGTTTACAAGATCTCGGGCACCTTTAATGAAAACGTCTCGATCCCTAAAGAATGAATTCAGGAAAGGCAAAGGTAAGGTTTCTGTGTTGGTTTGTTACTGCCTAGCTTGCTGTTTACTCTGCCAGTGTTGACCAAATAACGCTAACAATTAGCTTGTTGATATTAGCATCTAGAAGGGTCCTTTACATAGGGTAGGTGGTCCTGGCCCCGGTTTCAAGAATAAACACCTGACTACTCATCACACTCCGGGCGCTCATTCATTCTTTTAAGCTACCAATTTGAAACGAGTCTGTAAGAATAAATTGCACCGAGAGTGTATCACGGCGATGGAAGCATCGGAGTGATACACTCGAAGCGAAGCGTAATCAAGGGCTTAGGTTATCTGAGGACAACCTGGCAATATAATTTCTTTAACTTGGTTATCTGAAGGCAACCTGGTTACACACACACACACACACACACACACACACACACACACACACACACGTTTGAGCAGATGCTCGTTGCTATGGTACCCTAGTTCCCTAGTGATTAGTCAGCACCTAGGAAGTACAAAAGAAGTAGGATCTGTGGATACATGAGACTATATTTCTGTTGTGTGTTATGCTGATTTCACGTAGTTGATTCAAGTGTCTTGCTTTACTTTCACGATTGAGGCCAGTTTGTTTTAGCCTTGCTCAATATTTCACAACTTTGAAGCCGCAGAGTGATTTGGCAGATGAAAATAGCAAATAGTCAGTTTTATACAGCTGATTATGAGTAAAATCAGCATTGACTAGTTTTCTGTGGTTGATTAATTTGAGGTGGGTAATATGACGATTGCATTTTCTGTTTGGGATAGATTTTGCTATAATCGATTATGTCATTCTAGCTCTCCCTTTTTAATATTTTTGAATATAAAATCCAAGGCATTGTGACTGTTTAGCTATAATGGTTTTTTTTTTTACAGTATAGAGGACACTAATGCCCCAATACTGCAATATGCAAAATGCAATGTCCCCTTAAAGTTGCAAGAAAAAAAACTGTGACTCCTTCAGAATTACCAGGACTTTTGTCATGATCAATTATGAAATGTGGTCTGATGTTTCTCCTAGTGAAATGATACACAAACACAGTCTGGCAAACTAATAACACGCACACAGTTTAGCTTTCCCGTGTATTTCCATGAATAAACACTCAAGAGGCAGACTGGTGGACACAAGTGAACTTTTGACCTTTTAGTGGTAGCAACAACCTTCCTGTAGTTGGTGTTTCAGTTCATCAGCGTTTCTGGGATTTCTTGATTCAACTGCGAAATGTTGGCATTTGTCAATGTTTTGTCTGGTATTTCCAGGGAGCGTGGTCTCTGGTTTGTTGTAGAATAATAATCAGGTCCTAAAGCATTTTTTAAAGCAAGTTTGCAAAGAGATGTCTGCAGAGAGCAGAGACCGTCTGCTGCTGCAGTTTTAATCTCACATCCTTAAATCGCAGATGTTTCTAGCATACTGGTTTACTTCCTTTTCCCAGCCTGTGCTCTGTGATTCTAAATGTATTCAATAAAGACAATAAAAGTGCACCAATTAGTGTACTGAGACTTAGTCACATAGATGATTCTAAAATAAGATATTTCATCTCACAAGTTTATAAATGAAAGACATTCAATGTAATGAAATCGCTCTTAGGACTAATATAATATTAAAGGAATCATAGCAGCTGATATGTCTGTGTGCTTGTGGCTTTAAAGTTAATAGGTGTACCACAGCAGGCATTAGAGATGTTACAGGTTTATGCTACAGAATCAATATCATGTCTGAAGTTAAGGTGATGTTTTTCCTCATTGCACTGAGCCTGGGGGTATAAATAGATGAGAGGGTCATAATGGGGATTTGCCTGTCTGCGGTGGACTGACTGAGACTGTGCTCTTGGCTTTAGGCCCAGATTATCAGATAAATTGCTTTCCATGAAGAAAGGTCAGTGCCTTTTATAACCTCACCTGAGACAACTGATATTCCTGTCTAATCATGTGTGAAAATGAGTACAGGAGTATTCATGTAGTATGGTTGAATCTACGTATTAATAAGTAGAGTTCTGAAAATCTTTCAAGTTTAAGATCTGTAATAATAGTGACCTGGAGCTGCAGATTGAGCTTTCTGTCGTGCTGTGATGGCTGAGCATTAGGGGTGGGGGAAAAAATCGATACTGTGTAGTATCGTGATATTTTGCTTGCTAATAATGTATCGATACAGGGACAGCAGAAATCGATATTTTGTTACAAAAAAAGTTTTTGTGGACTGGAACTCTCTGACTTCAGAGCATGTTGATCCTTTTTCTGAGCAAGAATCCTGACATTCCTTCACTGTCCAAATGTGTTTAACTTGTTTTTTGGCAGCAATAAACATGACAGTTTACTTATTTTAATTTGTTTTATTTTAATTAAGTTTAAAACTTTTTTTATTTAATGTAAAATTATATTTTGTTTTAATTTACTTTCAAATTCTTCAGTTGCTGAATGGGCTGCATAGTTTTCATAAATTGCATGGTTCAGAATAGCTATAATTGTACCAGATGGTTGCATTCAGTTAAGTTGAACTAGACTGTAATACAAACCGTTCAGTTTGTCAACAATAAAACTGACTGAAATGAGAGAAAGACTGAGTGCGAGACTTTGATATTAGATAAAATGAATATTGATAAAGTTTACCTTTATGTACAGAATCTGAATATCGCAAAATATTAAAAAAAAAATTGCAATAATATCGTATCGTGCGTTAAGTATTGTGATAATATCGTATCGTGGGATGTATGATGATCCCCACCTCTACTGAGCATTGACCAGCCTGCAGTCCTTTGTGACCGTCATAGACAAACATAGTGAGCTACACGTACACTGTTATTGCTTTACACATTTACACAATGCCAGTGTTCATTATCTCTGCACTAGCATTCACTGTGATTGAATATTTACATTTTTGTGGGTACTGTATAATCAGAGGGTCGAGCATTTCAACTCTGTTTCAAACTTCGGTTTTGTTTGCACACAGTCTGCTGTCCTGTTTTCTAAATGTGCATTAAGAATTAGTTTAAGATTTGTTGGAGCATGGATCTTGCAGTTCTTCACAGCAGTTGTTGGATTGGTTGTCTCAGCAACATGTGCATAAAGTCTAACCTACTTGGGAGGGCCGGTGTATTCAGTGTAAACAAAATTAGATGAATGGACTTAAACAGTGTTGACTAACCATGGCTGTGGCCTTTTGGTGGGGGGAACCGGTTGGGATTGGTGCAATTTGTTTCTCTCTTGCTGCGCTTGTGTTGCTTCTATAGGATCTCTGTAAAGTTCTTATATGTGTGAAAAGCTTTGTGGCCTCCCATTTGTCATCATTCCAATCAGAGTTTCTGGTCATGGTTTCCGGTATCGATATATTTGTTAATTCGCTAATTATCCTTTGGCTTTGAAGCTGAATGAGCCGGATCAATGTGGCCAGGATTAGTCTCTAAGCATCGTCCTTGAGGCGGTGATGTAAATCTTCTTATAGTTTCCCTGATTTTTCTTTTCGGACGATCCAGTTGGTAAACCAGTCAACCAATCAGTTGGCCTCACACCTTTTGATTGAACAAATCAATATTCAATATATTGTTATTCCCAGGTTATGGTTTCATGATTGGTTACTTTAGTGTAACATGTCCTAACATGTCCTAACTTCACCATATTCTATTTCTTTAACTAACAGCCCAGGCTTAATGAAGGTTTATTCCTACAGTTAATGCAGGAAAGCTTCTATCAGCAGTTTTCTTACTTCTGCTTTAATAAGGATTTTACAGTATGCAGCTATGCAACTGTCTGCGATCACATCACCACAAAATCAAAAATGAAAGGAAAAAGCAAATTATCTGAAAGTACACAATTTCATATCGTCATCATAAGTAAGAGAAACCTGGAATAGAAAGCTCTGTTTGTCTTTTTATTTCTTTCGACTAATTTTTGGAGAATGAATTTCATTGTATTTGCAGTGTTTGAATGTGAAACCAAAACCATAAAACCCCCAGGGGGATTCGAACACGGAAAAGACAGCAGTGCTGTGTAGCCTGGGGACATGCTGGAGAGTTGAGTTGTCCACTGTATTTCCAGGGTTTTCTCTCTGTGCTACTGTAGATGACCGCTAAGCCACAAAGGTGAAACTGTTCCAGTAAACTCTCTGTCCTCCTGGCTGCAGGCCACAGCCTCATGTTCAGCTGGGCCATGCTGGGCTCACTCCAGCCGGCCATGTGAGAGCTAGAAAAGGGGCGTGACCGAGCCCTCGGCTCTGGTGTGATTGGTTAGAAGTGTCTCACCACTCCACCTTCTAGCTGCATGCATATCACTGTAGTGGTCTGTGAACCCTGCTGTGGGCCTCGCTGAGGGTGTGAATAATTAGCCACCCAAGAAAGATCAGTGGAAAGATATTTACAGAAGACTGAGCGACTTCAAGGCGGTTCTGTACAGACAAATACATAAGAGCAGAATATTTAAAAACAAAACAAAACATGTGGCCATAGCAAAAACTAACTTTTTATGTATATACTAAAGCATCCCCCAAAATAATAAAAGGGCAACCTCAAGGTGAATTGACTTTTATGGGTATTCCTGAACAGGCGATTGCAAAGGACACAAAGTTTGATGATTGATGTTATTGCATGACTAGTTTTAAGCACAGTGTGTTTTTGCTAGTATGATTATCAGTTTATTAAGAAAATCTGCATAAATGCGTTGGAGCTGCAGATAACTGCCGATGAGCAGGTGCTGATTTGCTTCTGGGACGTTCATAAAACCAATAAACACTGTGTGTGTGTGTGTGCGCGTGTGTGTGTGTCTGTGCGTGTGTGTGTGTGTGTGTGTCCGTCCGAAGGCTTTTTTTCCCCCCAAGGACACACCTGCTTTAATCGTATTTTCTTCTTTCTTACAGGGAAATTACAGGAGGGTTCCTATTTCAGCTGCACAGCCTTCACACTTTCCAGTCAAAAGTAAGGCAATTAAACCAAATGATCCAAAATGTGTTGTATGATATGCAAATTAAGATCTGTCAGCATGTTCAGGTGAAATTCTATTTTAATTTTTTTTTTTTTTTGTGCCTCCCTGTAAATTACACTCTATTCCTTTTTTTATAGGAAGTCATCCATTTCAAATGCTGCTTTATATTTTGTCCAAGACTTGATATAAACTTTGGGTCCTGAAACTCTTTGCTCTGTGTCCTCAGACCTGATGGGCTCCGACTCGGCAGCTTGGCTCAGGTCTCTTCGTTCGGTCCTTCCTTGCCCGTGTCAGATGAATTTGTGGGTCCCTGTCAGAGCTCAGACACACAGCGGCTCTACTGCGCTTTTGCGTCGGGGGCTTCCTCTTCACTGTACCCTGCGGTCGGAGCGGGGCCCCAATGGACGATAGCACGACCGCGAGACATCGCTGGTGTCAGGTGGATACATACCACGAGGAGGAGATGGGATGACTCCAAGGTGGAGAAGTCGCTGCGTTCGTTAAAGGATAAGAAGAAGAAGCTGGAGGAAGGAGGGCCGGTGTACAGCCCGACACTGGACGCAGAGCCTGTCCGAAGGACGCTCCGACAGCGGGTTGTAGATGAAATCAAGCACTACTACCATGGCTTCAGGCTGCTTTGGATCGATACCACCATTGCTGGGCGGATGTTCTGGAGGGTGCTGAACGGACATCCCCTGTCTCGCCGTGAGAGGAGACAGGTGAGTGTTGCACAGTGTGGCTGCAAGACATTGTCATTTCTGAGGAAGCTACATTGTGGAGAGATTGTTACTGCTTTGGGTGCTGCCAGGCTTTGTCTGCTGCAGCGTCTGGTGCCGGTTGGGGTTTACATTTTTAAATTAGACATTTTTTTTATGTATCTGTCCCGAGTTACAGATCCTGATTTAGTTTAATGGTAAGAAAGGGCAGCGAACATTTCATCTTTAATAGTTTTTCAGGAATGAATGTTCTTTGCAAAAGATTTCAGTGTGATCATTGGAAATAGTTTGAAAGTGGGCTCACTGACCTTTTTTTTTTTTTTTTTTTCTTTTCTCAAACATTCACATAAAGCATGTAATTCTTTCGCTGTCATGCAGAAATGTAAAAACCTGCTGATTTCTGCTGGAATGAGCAGATTTAATGCCTGGAATGTATGCCATATGTCACAGATATGAGAAGACATTACCAAATCTATAAAAGTGAAGTGAAGATTACATTTGTACTACACAGTCATACCAGAATCCCAGTGCAGGCTATACTTTGATTCAGTTAGTGAACAAAAATGTAGGTGAAAGGAAGGGTTTTCCCTGGTGATTGCTCTCTCTGTCTCTGCACTGGTAACACACACACACCTCTGTGTGTGTGTGGGCTGCTGCAGTTTAGTTTCCAGCCCCTGAGGGTAAATATTTAAGCCTAAGATCTTTTTAATTTATACCAAACTCAGAGTAGCACAAAAGTGTGTTTATTAAATGAAAAAATTTTGTAGAAGCTACAAGATCCAGCATTTCCACATTGAAATATGCCTTCTTTCTGTAGCCCAGAGCAAGAATTAATGCCAACCTCCAGTCAGCAAACAGTTTCCTTTTTTCACCTGGAACAAGCTTTAGCTTGTCTTTAACACAGTAATGTCAGTTTCAAGAATGTGAATTGAGCCCACTAACACAGCTAATGTAAGCTTATTTAGATAATGCTAAAAAGAGGCTCGTGTTTTAAAGGTTTCTCCTGCCTCATGATCAGGTGTATCAGTAGTAACAGAGCTACAGAGCTCAGGATCATTAACAGCAGAATATGAAGAAGCGTTCAAACGTTGCTCAGTAACAAGTAAATGAAAGTTTTTAGTGCTTCCAGTGAAAGGAAACGATTCTTTTTCCTAGTCCGGCTCAGAGTTTCCACTGAGGATAACCGACGTGAGTTTAAGAGATCAGCTATGACTGAGCACCGATTCAAGCCTGACAGCTCAGACATCTTGTTCTATACCGTTTTATCCATAGCCTCTCAATCCTAATGGGATCAATTATGGAAACGGGCCGCACGCTGTGTTTACTCATCAGGCGCCGGGCAGATTGTGCCTTTTCATTAAAGCTCTTCAGGAAGAAGCTTTACCTCGCGTACCAGATTCATCCCATCTCTGCACTCAGCCTACATCTCTCATTTTGTTGTGACTTTCACAACAAATCCCTAACGCAGATGTTGTTGATAAATTCTGTGCAACAGGACATGGTATTAAAAATATGATAAATTCGATTATTTACACAGTTTTGTTTTAATACAGAATATATTCCAGTTATTAAAATGACTTCACGAGTATGCTACATGAAAAATGTAGGATTCGTGTGAAGTAATGCAAATACTTGCATATTTCTGATGAGACAAGCTGCTCGGAATCCACGGCAGCGCGATTCGCTGTCTGGACTGAGGCCCGGTTCGGTAATCTGCCAAAGGTTCTGGCACACACAGGTGTCATTTCAAGGAAGGTGGGCAGGTCAGCTCAGTTCACACTTATGTACTGTTACCTCCAATCCAGCAGCACAGGATGGTGCAGATTTAGGTGACACAATTGGCGAGTTGCAAATGCTTCTTAGTGACTGATTTAGACTTCTGCAGGGAATCTTTGTAGAGCAACGTAGCCTACGCAAGTGGCCGACGGCGACCCAGCTCTTTGTTGCGGTCAGGCAAACGTATTTTCTTCAGGTTTTTCCACTCTGTGTATTCCCTCACGTTCAGTTTGATAGCTTTGGCTATGTTCCCCCAGGAATTTGCTGACATCCATGAAATGTGGTGATTGTTATTCTCTCACTGATTAATTCAAAAACGGGAATCAAACGTAGGCCAATCACAAAAGTTGCGGCCTGTGTTATGAGATGTGTTGATACATTTCCAGGGAGGTGCACATCGGGTAACAGCAGAGGCTATGTGGCAGGGTATTAGAGGGGTTTGTGGTTACAACACACCTAGACATAGATTTGATACAAAGGTATTAACTGTGTGATGTAATGAGATCTTGTCTGGGAATCCTTCCATGTTCTTATTTTAATATGTGGCCAAATTCACATTTCACTCACTGCTTTATGTCCAACTTAAAAGAAACCCTTAAACTGATATTTGGGAATCTGCCATTATACATTTATTTTAATTTTGTTGAAAATTCCCATTTAAAAAAACGAAATGACCCATTTGCCTTGTTACACTTGATTGTAAATTCAGATGAAACTGTGATTCAGATTCATTGTTATTTGATTATTCGTGTTAAAGCGTGCTGGAGAAAGTTATGGACATGCAGAGATTTTACAGCCGTCGCTGCAGAGTCATTTTACGACATGTTTCTCAATATCCACTTACACAGAAGTTCAGTAGGGTGTGTCATTCTGTGAAATGATGTGATGTAACCTGTTTTACAAAACTCTTAAGTGAAGACCAATCTTTTTTTCTTTTTTAAGTCGCTTCTTTAATATTCAAATTCAGAGATATGTATGCGTCATACACCATAACACTGAGCCCTACAGTATACACATTCATTAACTGACTTCATTGTGATTATGTTAAAGCAGCTGGGATATAAAGCCTCAGTGGAATGCTAATGGTCGCAGGTCAGTGCAGAGGATGACCGCAGCTTCCCCCCATTAAGCCCACACTATGACCCCATCTGCACCTTTTCAAATGGAGCAGGCTCCCTCAGAGTTCACGTCCCAAACCCGTCTACATGCCATTCATCTAACCTGGACTGGCTTTGCCTCCTTAATCTCCTCCTTTCATATTCCCTTACAATACCCAGGCCTCCCATTTAAGGCTCCCTCCATTTGAACGTATCTCACCCCCTCCTCCCTTCTTTGATGTGGAACTCTGGGAGATGATATACATGTCAATGGGCCTGCAGACAAAGGCCTTTTCACTCGGGCTGGCCTAAATCCTTCACCCTACTGGCCCACTGACATGCAGGTGGGAAGAGCGGAGAAAGGAGGACTCGTGTTTTTGGCCTTTTCCCCTCTGTGCTGTTTCTGTAGACGGCTCGCTGGAATTGTGTCCTGGATGGTCAGCGAGCCACGTTTGGACAGCCGTACAATGAAGTCAGCCAGTGTTGGCCAAGTGCTTCTGTGCTCTCGGGATTGTTCGGGTCTGCGCTGAACAAATGTGCTTCCTGTTGGATCAAATGGACAGTTTTAGAGCCTTGTGAGGCCAAATGTTCCCTTTGCTCTATGGCTCCATGCAAATACTGTGTGAGTGGACGGGGGATGTATAGAGGTGGGCCTGGAAGTGCTGACTTTTGAAACTTATTAGAGGAGCGATTGTAAGGAGAGAATAAAAGATGAAATCAACATTTTCACACAGTTTGTGCATTGCTGCTGCCCTCTGCTGGTGGCAGATATGAACTACAATGGTGGGAATGAATGGCACTTTTTTTCCTGTACCCTCCATGTTTAAAAAAAAAAAAAGAAAGAAAGAAAAATCTTAAAAAAATATGAGAACACTTTAAAAACACATCAAATCTAAATGGTAAAAAAAATCATGCATGCATCATTGCAGCAACACAAAATGATACTATGGGCTCCCACGTGGATCCTAATGAGACAACGGCTCTTTTGAAAATCCAAACGGGAGTGCTAACATAGATGCTCATAGTCTCACTTAAAGATTCCATCAGTTTACACAGATCTGTCCCATTTGCTGATATTATTTCCTTTTTTTAAATTTCCTTTCAGTTTCTCAGAACATGTGCTGATGTCTTCAGACTTCTTCCCTTCCTGGTGTTTATCATCGTTCCCTTCATGGAGTTCCTGCTTCCTGTAGCTCTGAAACTCTTCCCCAACATGCTGCCATCCACCTTTGAGACACAGACAAAGAAGGTAAGTAGAAATGGGTGGTTGATTATTTATTTATTGTATTTATTTTTAGCTCCACGATGCTGGGTTTGCTAAATATTGTGATTGGAACTGTATGTCATATGTAGTTGTATTATTCAGGAATATTATAAATGTACTTAAGTTATTATTTAGACGGTTATCTAATCTAGACTATGACAGTAACAGTCTTAAATAGCCCTATATGACATTTTTATCACTTTGACCAATCTGTTGAGCTTGACCAGGTCTTGACTTGATATTTTAAGTCTTTATAAAGTAGTTTCTATATGTTGGCAATAGAAACCACTGGTAAGGATCACAATGTCTAAGTTATGAGACAATTTTCCCCTAATAAATCATTAGTTGACAGTGAACACCTGGGTGGATGTGAGCTACCTCTACAAAGTTTTATCACAATCCATTCAAAACTTTTCAAGCTTGTTCACAGACAGTAAAACCCACACTTACAAAAACATGACCTCCTTGGTGGAGGTAACCTGCGTTCTGTCCTGTGTGATAAAGAAAACTTTTATCTTAGAAGCTGGTTCCAGTCATCAAAATTGTATTTGACAAAAAAACGTTTGAAACAGTTTGTCTGCTGTGGATTCAACTATCCGTTCCAGCCTTGAACGCAAGCGGACTGTAGAGATTCAGACTGTGTTGGTCCTCATATGTCTCACCATCAGTGCTAACATCATTTGAATGGGATTTACTGTAGTGCTTTTAAGCACACTGAATTTGTAACCTCCTGCTTTTTAGGAGGAGAGGTTGAAAAAGGAGCTGAGGGTCAAACTGGAGATGGCCAAGTTCTTGCAGGACACCATTGAGGAGATCGCTCTGAGGAATAAGGCAGCAAAAGGCGACGTGACGGAGGAATTCTCCACCTTCTTCCAAAAGGTCTGCTTTCTAACACCGAGCAGTGTGAAATGAGGAGAATAAAAAACTCATTGCTGCTCTCTGGTGGTGAAAATATTAATTTATTTTTATTTAAAACAGAGTTGTGACCAGTTGATTACCATTAAGAGCGTTTATAGTGGAAATTTAAGTATTTCTTCCGTATTTTCTTGTTACTACATGCTTTCACTGACTATATTCATTTCATGGATTATTCTTTGCACGGGAGAACAGCAGTACATCTTTTGCATGTAAACCTGGTCTCATTTAAACTTTTTACAAGCCCTGATCTTCTCATTACTATAGATCCGGGACTCTGGGGAGCGTCCCAGTAATGAGCAGATCATAAAGTTCTCCAAACTGTTTGAGGACGAGCTGACGCTGGACAACCTGACTCGACCTCAGCTCGTGGCGCTCTGTCGTCTCCTGGAGCTCCAGTCAATTGGGACCAACAACTTCCTCCGCTTCCAGCTCATCATGAAGCTGAGGGCCATCCGCACAGACGACAAGGTACGAATCTCTGGGGTTAAAAGGAAAAATAAACCTGTTGTTTTATGTCTGAGCACACGGCAGCACCCGGGTGAATGCAGCGACACTGGCCGCTGACTCTGTGTGACCTCTTCTCTGTGTTTATCAGCTGATAGCAGAGGAGGGGGTGGAAAGCCTGAATGTGAACGAAGTGCAGGCAGCGTGTCGTGTCAGAGGGATGAGATCTCTGGGAGTCACAGAAGAACGACTAAGAGAACAACTCGGCCAGGTAACGACAACAGCAGACAGATGGGGGCAGTTTTCATTATTCACTGTAAAAATAAAGTAGAGGTTTGACCGTCTGGAGACTTCAGGAATGGCATCAGGGGTGAAACTCTTAAGATGTATGTTTGACTGCATATTTGTAATAACCTCTGTAATGTTGTGTTTGACTCTGGTAGTGGTTGGAGCTGCATCTCAACCAGCAGATCCCCACCTCTCTGCTGCTTTTGTCTCGAGCCATGTACCTCCCAGATACCCTGTCTCCTGCAGACCAGCTGAAAACCACGCTGCAAACACTTCCTGAAATGGTGGTATGTAAACAGTACAGAGCTGGGATATAAAGTTGCAGGCAGTACTTTAAGCTCAACACGCAGCCTCGGTCAATACTGGAATACAGGCGAATATCCTGCCCTCTGCTTGCTTTTCCAGACCAAAGAGGCCCAGTTAATGGCGGCGGAGTTGGAGCTCTCCAAAGTGGATAACAAGACCAAACTGGAGACCATGCTTCAGGAGGAGGCAGCCATACGGCAGGACAACAAGGACCGAGAGATGGAGAGGCTGGCTGATGCTGCAGAGAAGGCTGCCAGGGTACTGACTCTGTATGATGTCTGTTCAGTGTTTAGGCCAGGTGCTATTTAAGTCTTTGATACCAGTGCCAACAAACTGACAGACTTTATGAGCCAGTTTAAGATAAAGTTATTATTACCAAAAGACCTTAAAAGAGTCTGACCAAGCCTTAGAGGCCATGCTTTTGCTACACAGTCGTGAGTTTTCAGGTAGAATGATGTGCTCTTTGTTTTTCATTGAAGCTTCAGCTTAGAGAAATCAAAAGGTTTCTGTAATATTCCACATGATTGGATCAACTCTAAATCTGCAACTTTCTCACAAGAAAAACTAACTGCCTAACCCTAACTACTGCAACAAGGACACATCTCCCTTAAAGCTGAAGGCTTCCTGCAGTCGTTTGCAGTGTTGTTTCTGTAGGTGTTGCTATAGGGTTTGAACCATGCTCTGTTTTCTGCAGGAAGGTGAACCAGAGCTTCAAGCAGAGAGGATGAAGCGCAGTGAGGCCGAGCCAGCTTCATCTAAAGCCGAAAAGGCAGCCGATTCAGAGACACTGAAGGACACCGCACCCATTATAGAGGGACTCAAGGTAAAGTTAGTAATAGATGATAACATTTATTTTATTTATTCTGTTACATGTTTAATATTTTTATGCATTTATATAATATTTGACTTAAAGTCAGAATTCTAATAAAGCTTTTCAGTTTAACCCTCTAAACCTGCCTCATGTGCTGCACACATCCAGTTTTCTACTACACGTAATATCATGTTGTATAGTTTCCTTTACCTGGAGCTTTAATTTCAGACAACAGAAGAGATTTGCATTGATTGTATCATATCATGATGTTTTGTTTTGTTTTTTCACTCACTTGCTGCTGCTGCCTTTTCATTCTGTACCATGCAGTTTGAGCAGTGGCAGAGGTTTCTGCGTTTCCAGGTTGGCTTTATTAACACCTCCTCCCAAATGATCCCTGATACTTGTTCTATCCCTGAATCTATGGTGTCTGGTCTTCCTCTGAGCAGATCCAGATGTGGGTTAAACAGCACTAGCATGTTTTTTCCCCAAGACTGAGAACATAATCAGAGTTAGAGGAAGTACCCTCCAAATTCATGACAACATTGATGCTGACATAAACCAGTAACTGCTTAGTGCTTGCAGATGAGAGCAGCAACAATGTAGCGAGGGCAGGTTCAGCTTTGGGATGAAAATCGTACAGATTCCAGTTTCAGACCTGTTATAAAGACTCGGAGGAAGTTGTATTTTCTGAATGTGAAATTTATTTTTTCTTTTCTTTTAAAAATTTTTTTAAAACAGCAAATATATTTAGGCCAAATTGCACTAATAACCTGTGGTGAGTTTCTTAAAGAGATGCTGTTTGGCCCACGTCTACACGGACCTCCCCTCGTCAGTCCTTCAAGCCGTGTAACATTTCCATCCTTAACTAACAACCTTTGTAGTGCCACAGTTGTTTTTGTTTTTTTTATGTGGAGTATCCCACTATGCCTGCCAGCTTCCCTCTTTTACCACTTATATTTAGTTGTTTTAGGGTTTGTTTTGTATCAAATCCACATGTTATACGTGCTAAGTGAAGACAGTGTTTGACCTGGTTCATGTGGTGGTATACACCCATCTTGCTCCCATCTACCACATGGCTGTGGTAATAATTCACAATCTAAAAAAGTAACTTTTTTGTCAACTTCAGATTAGGTTGTCTTGATTTAAAAGAACATATGTTTATATTTTGTTCTTTCTTTTTTTTTTTTTTTTATAACTTCCAGGCAGAGGAGATCACCAAGGAAGAGATTGACCTGCTGAGTGATGCCTGCTCAAAGCTGAAGGAGCAGAAGAAACTGCTGACTCTGGAGAAAGAGGAGCTGGAAGAGCTGAAGGATGATGTCCAGGAGTACAATGAGGTGCCTTATTTTGGCTTCAATGGACAAATTTAATGATTTATTGCCAATCAGGCCTAATTTTTTTTAAGCAGTTTTACCTCAAAACAGAGTATTAATTTGTAATGCTCCAACTTCTTTGGCTTTTCATGAGTTGTTTTATGTGGTTGTTTCGGCGTTTTTTTGTGTGTGCAAAATTTGCATCTGTGCCCTGTTTTCCAGGATCTGGAGGAGATAAAAAAGGAGCTCTCCAAGACTGGTCAGGAGAAGGCCATAGAGGAGTCAAAGGCCAGCCAGCGGCTTTCTAAGAGGGTGAACCGTATGATCGGTCGCATTGACAAGATCATCCTGGAGCTGGAGAAGGACAAGGTCATCCTGGATGGACAGATGGACAGTGGATCCACCCCACCTGTTGGGTAAGAAAACAGCAGCCATAACAGCTTCAGTGAGAGAAGCTGCCGTATAGCATTAGACAGAATTGGATCTGTCACGTGTAACTGCTTTCACTGGGGGACTCTGCAGATGAATAATTCAACATCTAAGAAATTTATTTACCTGCTTTGTTACTAAGGACCCATTTTAAATTCCGGCTTAATGCCGAAGTTCAAAATAACAATTTTACTAATGACTAATACTTATATTTTTTCAGTTTATTTATTTTGTTTCTATAATTGTTTTTCATTTTGGTGTCTTATTGTGCAGAACGCTCCCTCAGTCTTGTCCTCAGATGCCTCTACATGCTTTTACATGGTGGGCCACATACAGCCCACTTTGATCTTGATCCACGGTGTCTATTTTTTATTTTTTGTTACAGTAAACTCACTGTAAAAATCCAAAATTTCTATAGTACATAGTGAAAATGGTAACTTTGTGTCATTTCATGTTCATCTATCTCGGATTTACTGTAGTGTAGTATGAATGGCAGGGGGCGTGGTCTATATCAGTAGAAAATGCCACAAAACTTGTGAAAATACAGTTAAACGTCCAAAATGTACCCCTCCCTTCACATTTTCCAGAGACATCTATTGGGCCAGATTGGCGTCTTTGGTGGGCCGATTACATTTGACACCCTTGCTCTACATCATTAGTTCAGCCAGTATAGACTGGCAGCTGTGACACTTGCGTCAAATAACAACCATCCTGTTCCCTTTGACACATTTTGTATTTCATTCAAATTCTTCTTGCTAACCTGAGTGCTAGCTTAATGCGCTACCTGAGTAAGCTAACACCTTGGTCACTGGCTCACATCTTCCTAACAGACTAGACTTTGCCATAGAGTTGGGCTTTGGAGCGTGTTAGCTACCACCTCGTACCTAGCACAATAGCTAGCTGGCCAAGCTAATTGCATTATTGCCACATGGCTCAGTAGCATAAGCGCTAACCACTACACTAGCCAGATCACTCTAGCTCTCACTACAGCTGCCTGACCCAGTTTATCTATTTTAGGTTGCTCAGGTAGGCTGAATGAATGAGAAATGATTTAATTTGTTTTTAAAAAAGAGGGCTGCCCCTGCTGGAGTGTTGATAGAAGCTTCTAAGGACAATGCTGACCGAGCGTTCCCCACAGTGAGACGCCTCAATCGTATTAACAGCCAACCGGGCTTATGAAATGAATAACTTTAAGTTATTTATTCCCACTTGTGGTTTGGTTAAACAGATAAATCATAGTAAAATGTTATTTTACCATTCTATAGAAAGACTATAAGTCTTTCAGCTCTTCATCACTCTTTGAATATTTTATATTCAGAGCAAACAAAAGCTCTTGATACAACACAAAGATTGGCTACTGACATCTGTATCCATCCTTTTATATGCAAAATATCAGTTAGCGAGGCTAAAGTGATCGATGTGCTCCAACTGCTGTTGAACTAGACCGCTCGATGGTTTTGCAGCTGCGTGTGTGTGCTTGTCTGTAAAAGCCATGAAGCTTTTGAAAGTGAAGGATCCACAAGCAACCTTTTAATGAAGAGCGACGTTCGCGTTGGCTTGTGACTGCATAGACAGACTCACTGTTAGCATATATCTGATGGGAACATCTTTCCTGTTCCGCATCAGTTAAATCAAGCTAAACAAATTAAGCTGCACAGTCTGGCCTTTAGTACTTTGATCTTCTTCAGATTACATTTCCTTGATTTTTAAAGCAACACTTGTAACATGTTTATACTTTATATCAGCAGGTAAACACAATGACAACAGGATGAAAACATCAAAATGTTGCTTATGGGTCATTGACCCAAACGCTTCATGACATGTATCAGTGTATCTAACATAGCTTGTCTTTGTAATTGATAACTTTATCATCTTCATTGTCATCATCACCATCTTCATCTTCATCATCATCATCATTAGTGTTACTGTAAAATGGTGGTGGAGATAACAAAGGGAACAAAAGGTTTCCCCCCTCAAAAGTGAATAATACCTTTTTAATGTCGTTTTCGGTCATTTTGACTAAATTGAGTCCCTAATTCATTTGAAATTTTACAGATTATTCTTTGCTAAATATAGCGGTGCCAAGAGGTAAGCAAAACTGGGGTAAACCGCCATTTGCTTGCTTGTAACATGCTAGCATGGTTTTTCAGATGCTGAAACGGTGCAATAAAGGATCAAACACTGCTCTCATCTTATTCTCAGCTTCCATTTCTGCTCGCTACATGTGGTTGCTGTGCTTCAGACGTGCTAAATGTTGTTGTTTTTTTTGTTTTCTTTTTTAACCTATTTAATGAATTAAATCACATTTTATTAAAATAAAATGATTGGAAATGTTTGATGTTTGTTCAGACTGTACGAAAGTCTCCGAAATCTTAAAAAAAAGGATGTATTGGACATTATTTGGCATGTAAGCTTCTGTTTCTATCATAGGGCAGCTTAAAGAAATTAGTTTAAAACAAATATGCTGCATTCAGCATGAATAAATGCGTTTAACTAAATCAAATTCAATTAATCCTGCCGTTATGACAAATTGCACCAAACTTTTTTGATTGGTGTGTTTTTTTTGCTGATTTTTTGGGAACCTTGAATGCAGCATGTTGACCCTAGACTTCTCCACCACATTTTACGTCCCGTCAAACCTGGTAACCGTTTCCTGTATACAGTCTGTTCTATACCTTTAGGGAGAACCTGGTCAGCATCGACGAGCTCATCAACATCATGCGACAGATCCAGAACATTCCCGAGCACAAGCTGCAGAGCATCGCCGAGGCTCTCGACGACAACAAGGACGGGAAGATTGACATCGACGACGTCATCAAAGTGAGTTGATCTGCTATGAGGAACATTGTTAGGGATGGGAAATAATAAGAATTTAGCAATTTCGATTTCATTATCAATATCATATCAATGATATTACATACATGCAAAATGCTGAGTGCTGAAATGTTTGTGCATGTTGGAGGTATGTCCCGTCTTTGTTGTGATCAGTGTTGGGGTCATTACTCAAAAAGTAATTATTGCACAGAACACTTTTCTTTAAAGTAACAATACTGAATCACACCCAGGTTAAAGACACTCGTTACGTTCATGTCATGTTACTCTGTAAAATGATCTGAAATTGTCTCATAATTACTATTTAACAATATAAGCCTGCAGGCTAGAGTTCCAGATCCTAGTATAAACACAAAGCCAACAACACAAATACAAGATTAAAACCAACACAAAGAGACTTTAAAGCGATCGTCACAGTGATTCTACTGTAGACACATGAACAGGTAGAAACGGAGGCTGCAGCCTGAATGCTCATCACTTTGTTACCTGTTGAAGTTCAGCAGCGGCTGATTTCACAGCAAATGACGGCTCACCTTATCACACGGTGGGTTGGGGTCAGTTCTCTGATTCCAAAGTTCAAATCCAAATCCAGTTTATTCATATAGCACATTTAAAAACAGAAAGTTTGCCCAAAGTGCTGTACAGAAACAAAGGGATAAGAAAACACCGACACTCACATAAACACATAATAAACATATCAACTCACACCAGTCTAAACGCTATAGAAAAAAGGTGAGTTTTCAAAATGTAAAAACAGGAAGCAAAGATGCCGGTCTAATATTTAAAGGCAGCGTATTCTAAAGTTTTGGAGCCATAATTGAAAAGGCTCGTTCTCCTCCACGTTTTAGCCTGGATTTTGGGACAACCAACAGCAGCTGGTCGGCTGACCTAAGGGTCCGGGAATATAAGGCTGAAGTAACTGGGAAAGGTATGGGGGGAGCAAGACCATTTATAAACCAGCGTTAGGACTTTGAAATTAATTCTGTCATGAACAGGAAGCCAGTGGAGAGAGGACAGTTCATGCCAGTTAAGAGGCGGGCAGCAGCATTTTGAACTGAAGACGTGCAAGAGAAGGATCTCTTGACTCCAACATACAGTGCTTACAGTAGTCGAGCCGAGTTGAAATAAAAGCATGTGTTGGTAAAGTTGGTCCAACACTTTCTAATCATACAGGAGCAGTTTGTTGACAAATTGCATTTTTCAGCATTATCTAACACGGTGTAAGAACAACTGTACAGTACTCTGTTTTGGTAACTATTGTCCAGGATGTAAATATGTAAAAATTTTGTGTGTTTCTGTTCTGTGTCCTGTTCTGTGTCTGTATATGTTTTGTTTTTTGGGTTTTTGTTTTTTTTTTTGCTGCTGTTACAACCAAATTTCCCCATGTGGGACAATTAAAGGATTCTATTCTATTCCAAGCTAAATTGCTAAGAGATTATTGAATTAGCATTTTGGATCCATGGCCAGGTAACTCCCTGATCAGTCCTTAAGCGCAGGTGTGATCGACTTTGATCACTGGCAGGAGGAAAATGGGTCATCATCGATCCGAATTTGGCCTTGGAGCTGCTATTCAGCATGCCACAAGGAACTGCAGTTTTTATAAAATAAACAAACAAAAAAAAACAGATTCATCTGATTCCTAAATTATACCAACCTCTAGTGGCCATTTGAAGAACTGCACTCTTTGGTATCTACTGTTGGCTTGATTTTTCAGCGCCTGCAGTTTCTGTTTGGAGGGATTTTTTTTTTTTAACATCACTGTGGTCATGTTGCCAACTTGACTGCCAAATACATATGTTTTATACACAGTTTTTACTTTTGCTTTTAAAAAACATACCACAGTCTTAATGTGTTTCTAGAGGTTTGATATGCTTTAAAATGAACAAACTCAAAGAGTCTCGCTTGTTAAAAACATTTCAAATGTATGGCATGTTTATGTTTAACCTAAAATATCTCCAGCCCATTTCATCATACAAGCCTTTAAAAGATGTAATGGAAACTAATGGGAGGCTATAAACCAGGACAGGATGGAGGCGTCCAAAATAGTGTCAACATACAAAAACATAGTATCCTGTAATTTCTACATCCAAAATACTTCGCTTTGTTTGAGTCTCACCAAAACGTTCTGGTCTTTCCCATAAGTACAATAGCGCTTTATAAGCATCATCAAAAGTTGAGGGTATTGTTATGTGCATGTATATCCTCCACGTGTCTTCAGTTGTCTTCTATTCTGTGGTTTTAAACAAAAAATGTTGGTTTTTTTTCAGGTAGTGGAACTGATCGACAAGGAGGACATCGACATCTCCACCTCACAGGTGGCCGACATCATGGTGATGCTTCAGAAAGAGGAGAAGCTGATGGGGAAGGAAAAGGCCAAAGAGAAGGCAGAGAAGGAACAGGCAGCCACACTCAAAAGTTAACTCATTTTGCTTCAGAGACACGAGTGTTTGTAAAAAATGAGCACTCTCCATTGTGACTGGTATCTGGTCATAGAGGACTCTGGACACCAGGTTGATCTGGAGAGGTCGAGAACCGCAAGGTAACAGCTGCCTTCTTCTGAAAATGTCATTCTGCTACAAATTGAGCTCCTAAAAATAAAAAATAAGAAATCTTCAGAGAAGGCTTGTTGCCTTTTAAAATGTACAAATTCAACAAGAAACTAAATTTCTGTCATGTTAAAAAATTCTCGACTGGTCGTGTAAGATGTGTGGTAGTTTTACTTCAGTATTTATCAGTGCAGGGAGCACAGTGACATGGAATTGAAAGCTAATCAGAAAAATGGTTTGGGAAATGTGTTATCAGACGTGTTATTTAAAGTTGTAGGTGAACCGTCTTGCCTTTCAGTTCGTTCATGTCATCATCTCGGAGAAATGAGCGATCATTTCCGAACTTTGCACAGTCAACATTGTCATTTCTGTCATTCCGCTCACTTTATTTCCTCTTATATTTTATTTATCCACCTCATACCTGTTTGTAAAGTTTTTTTAAGTTGTACTTGGGCAGGTAGCTTATCGCTGGCTATAACGGTGGCTGCAACCAAAGATGTTATTGGTATTGGAAACAACACAAAAATACTCAAAACATGTTGAAATTACAGGTTAAAAACAATCCATTTTAAAAAGGGCCTTCTAGCGATTATATGCTAAAAACTATTTAGGTTTTTCTTAGAAAAGACATCAAACTTTTTCCATGAAAACCAAAACTATAGTACTGCAATTTCTTTACATTTTGCACTCACAAATGGGGAAAAAGTACATTTAGTGCAGCTCTTCATAGATCTTCACTCGTAGCTCTTTATTTAATGCCAAAGTTGCACTGAGATGCATTAATAGCACATTCGAGGTACTCCTAAAGTCATCAGACAAAACAGCAAAGATGGATTTAAACTGTGTAGGATCAGTGTAGGGACAGAAGCCACCAATTAAATGCGTCTGATGCTGCTGTGACAAGTCAGTCGGGCTGTCGCCCTTCAGTTTGGATATTGAGATGTTGTTGTTGTTGTAGCGTTTTAGCAGCTATGATGTTTTGCTTGTTCGCTCTCTCAGAGCAGCCTTCGTTATCCGTCGCTAAGGCTTTAAATGTTCCTTGTTGATTTCTACCGAAGCACGCAAACCCAACAAACGATACTGGGGACGGCAAAGTTTAGGAAAGTAAGAGATTCATTTTGCAGTAATTAGTCTGGAAATCGTCCGCTCAGGCGATAGAGGAGTTCATGAGTTGTGTCGTAGTTGTCATCGTTTAAAGCAAAGTGGCCTTCTTATCACACAAATTGTATGGTTCTTATAACACTGCATATTTATTTCTGAGGATTTTTAAGAATTTAACGGAGTCGTGACGTTTTCGATTTGCATAATAATTTAATTCTGAACAAATTTGGATGAATTTTAAATTTTAGTCCTGTCTTTTTTTCCTTTTTTGTTCTTTGCACTGTAGCCATGAATGTACGTAGTATGTAAACAAGATTCCTCAGGGCTGTGTGATGATTTTAGATGATTAAATATGTCCTGCTACCTATCCACATATCCCATTCTGTGTTCACACTGCATCAGCTTTTCAATGAAATTTGAAACGATGCTAACTGCACATTTCGATCAGGGGTGCAGTTAATTATTATCTTGCTCATTGGTGCTTCCTAAAAACTTAAAATAGAGTGAGGAAAATGCCCCCTAGAAGACTCCAACCTCATGTTTCCAGTTCGCTAATCCCTCTAATAAATGAATGGAAAACAAATATGTATAATAATGACATTTGATTCCCTAACCATTAATGGTGCTGACAGTATTCGATAAATATTTTTTTCTGTCTAATTATCATTATTATGCAGCATTTTGAAGACACGTTGACATTTCTGACATCTAAATGATGTGAAATGTAATCTTAATGAACTGATTCATGGGGAAAAGGGATCAAATAGAAGAATTTCAGACAGATGTATCTAATGACCTCAGATAAAAACTCTTGGTAGTGATGAAATCCAAAAATCTGATTGCTTCTTTGACCGCTGGTGAATTTCTCACATAACTGGCTTCCTGTCCAGCCACACGCGGGTGCTGCGTGAACCCACCGTAACGCCTCCAGCCGCCTCTGTCTGATGAGCTTTACGGTCTTTGCCACCGCTCTGGTGTTCCTCCTGCATAATCAGAGAAGAACTCGGGTGTAAACGAGGGTGACGGAGTGGTACTTAAGATAATGCTGAGTGGACAACGCTTCATTTAATCCATTCCCAGAATCCGCCGTCCTACACGTGGAAGTTTAAGAGCTTGTTCATCTTCCATCGGGCATCGTCCCAGCTCGCATCCAGTGCTGCCTGGCGGAGCAAAGGCTCTGCTTCGCCTGGGACCAGTCAGGCTGATGGGTGCGGGGTAAACACTCGTCCCATACATGGGCCAAAGCCAGCTCCACTGGAGGGTTGTGTTTAGGTTAGAGACGCTCCGGCGGGACATGGCACGCCGTGCGCTGCATAAATCCACAGCCAGTGTAAACACTTTAAAAGAACGTTGTGACAACGTCTCGTTTACACTCGGCAGGAGAGCGTGGTGTTTGTGTCACCCCTCCCGCCTGACAAGGGTGAACTCTGAGGAGCACTTTGTATATCAGCACGACTGGCCCTGTTTGGGACAGAGGGTCAAAGGTCAGAGAAGGGGAAAGAGACGAATACCAGAGTGTAAGACTGATAGAGATCAATACACAGGGTTCCTGTGCAGGTCCAGAAAGGGTTGAAATCGACAGGGACCTTTAATGCGTTGCAGTCATTGCTGAAATGCAGATTGATGTCAGTAATGTGCAGTTGCACAGAGCGCTCCTGAGAGCTTATTTTTACCTTTAACATGATTTTTGCCATGTTTTACTAAATGCACGGAGCTTCAGTTTAGCCAAAGAGACCCGACTAGTCAACAAGCAGATAATCAGCCACTTTTCCCTTTTGATGTGCAAACAGCTAAAAACAAACTGGTTCCACCTTCACCAGTGGGAAGATTTGATCATATTCTTTATACTCAATTGGAGCAAACTGGATATCTACCAGTCTAGCCAACTCTAAAATTCCAAGATGATGGAAAAGGGTGAAAAAAATGTTGTTGTTTTTTTAAACTTCCAAAACATCTCAAAACCTACATATTACCACAAAATGATTGCAATATATGAAAACTGGTCAAAACTTCAAATAAATTCAAGAAAACTCAAACTTCCCTCAAACTAACACTTCCCCAAATGATTGTATGTCCTTGTCTGTGGCTGCTGTGCTGTTTAAACTGCAGTCTTGGAGAAAGAAGGAGGTGTAGAGATACAGTTGACAGCGAAAGCAGTTTGACTCGAGGCTTGTGTCAGCAAATTTTCATTGCCAACCAGGCCGAGGCTCATTTCTTACCTTTTATTCCTTCATTTAGTTCCCTCATGATATTTTAGAAGAAAGTGACTCAGGAGAAATAAAAAGGTGAGCCGATTTTTAGCGCACAGTCACTAACGTTGACTGTTCTCTGCACAGTATTGCCACAGTGTAAATGCACTATTCGTTTTTTAAGCAGTTGGTATGTGTTGACTGGCCGTCTCTGTGTGAATGTCTACAATACAAACCGTCCTCTCAGACTCCTGCTCAGTTGTGGGTGTTGGGTTTAGAAGAACAAACGCTTAAAGGATAATTTTTTTCTTTTCTCCCATTTTGAGGTGGAACAAGTGGCTTCAGCTTGTTAGCAGTACGCTGTAAATCTTTAATTTAAAGTCATCCGTGCTGATGAACTGGGAAGCCGACCTTAAACCTTAATGACTGAACGCTTGCTCTTTAGCCTAAGCCGATTCCACCAGTTTAGTTTTTCTTGTCAATTTCTGACAAAAATCTACATATTTTGTGCTATCAGGTAGAGTAGCTAAAAAGCATTGTGGACTTGGCTTCTTTTGATGATATAATCGTATTACTCTTCCTGTTTGGGGTTTGATGAGCTTGTAGTAACACCTCCCCCCACTTCTTTTTTTTTGCACCAGTCTTTTTTTTTAATTATTAGCGATATGCTGCTTTTTGTAAAATATAATCGAGTTTTCTCTTGTGCTGGATGTAAGAGTACAGTCTGTGTAAAGAGGGAAAGGGCAGCTGAAATGGGTAAAGCAGTGGGGATGGGCTCTGTCTGTATTTTCGGTTAAAAAGTAGAAAACGTGTTTCACTATATTTTAAATCATAGTGCAGCCAGACCCATTAACCCGGTAAAGACTGAACCTTGAAGTAGTTGCCAGAAACTTCTGGTATAAGGGTTAGGGTTGTAATAAAGCTAAACTCGCATATGAGTTTTAATTTGTATCAATCACGAATTTATTTAAGTTTTTTGGGTGGAAAAAAATCGCACTGATGATGTCGAGGGTTAAAAATTGTTCTAAAGCTGTGTTCAAGAAGAAGGCGAAGTGCCTCCCCTTTTAAGATCAAACTTTATTGATAATTTATTGATATTGATATTGCTTTGGGATCGTTTGTGTCCGAAACGGCAATCTTTCAGCACAGACTCTAATTGAGGATG